AGCTGTAAGATACTATGGTAATGCTCATTATGGTCAAAGTACTGGTCCAATATGGCTCTGTTATTTGTATTGTACTGGAACTGAGAATAACTTGCTTGACTGCAATAAAGCTGTTGATATTGGTAAAACTTATGGTCATTCACACTCAGAAGATGTTGGTATAGTATGTCCAGGTATCTATGGCTGTACAAGTTATTTACATGTAAATTAATGTATTTTTTGTAGCTAATTCATGTAGTACTGGATCAGTGCGACTCACTGATGGACTAATACCAACAGAAGGAACTGTTGAAGTGTGCAATGATGGAGCATGGACTAGTGCCTGTGATTATCTCTGGGGACATCAAGAAGCATTTGTAGTGTGTAGACAATTAGGTCTACCAGCAACAGGTACAATGAATTATAATGATATCATGAGGTTTACACACTTTGTACATATTCATAGATGCACAACCTGTTTATTATTATAATTCTTTTGGATATGGACATGGAATACCAACATTGTATGACTGGAGATGCATTGGGAATGAGTCAAGTTTGAATGATTGCTTTAAGTCTTCTACATCAAGCTGTTACACTAGATCTAGTTATTATAGTGTGTACAAAATATCTGGAGTTAGATGTAAAGGAAACATTGTACCAGGTATAACCTATTTAAATTGTTTGATTTAAACATAAATGCACAGGAAATTGTTCTACTGGTACTATGCGTCTTGTTGGTCCTAATGGTCCTAATAAAGTGGAAGGGAGAGTAGAGTATTGCAGTAATGGAGTGTGGGGTACTGTTAGTAGATATGGATTTGATGTTAGAGATGCTCATGTTGTATGTAGAAGACTTGGTCATCAGACACCACGTATGATAGCTATTATTTGATTTTGTGTTACGTTGTCTTATTGACCCCATTGACCCCATTGCAGGAGCTTTGATATTTTGGAATGCTTATGGTCAAGGATTTGGTCCAGTAGTGTTTCATTACTTACATTGTACTGGAAATGAAGATAGATTAGAACATTGTACTTACTTATCAAGTCCATCATTTGCTAGTCACACAACTGATGTTGGTGTGAAATGTTCAGAGAGAGGTTAATATAATTATACTGCATATAATACATTGCTTCCATTACAGTATTAACTGACTGCATTAATG